AAAAATGTCATCCGGCGTCATCTCAGACTGATTTCTTTTAACTGAAATCAACTGCCTCATTTCAGAAATTACCGAACATGGGGTGGTTTTTTTTTTTTGTTAACCTTTTATTTAGGTCACTTGATATCGAAAAGTAAGGAAGGCAATTAAACATTTTCTATTTTCTTCTGGTTTTGGGGCGGCCAAAACTCTGCTGAAGGTGGCCCAAGTACATACATAAACGCAGTTCGTCCCCCACCCCCTCAAAAAAACGTAGTTTTCCCACAACGGGTCATTAATTGTTAAAAAGTATTGCCCAGCTCTGGTAACATTTGACCTTAAATTCCTGTGTCTGTCTGCAAAGGCAAACCTCTGATTTCAAGTACATCACATCCACCTTCCCTTTAAGCCAAAATTTTGGACCCACCTTTGCTTTCAGTGCACGCAAAGTGTACAACAGGAGAAAGAGCCCACAGAGCTGTGGGCACCGTCCCCTGCCCCGCCTTGGCTCTCACGCCCCTTCAACCTGCTCTCACCTTGGATTCACCTGGGATTGCCCCCGTCTCCCCCGTGCCTGGATGGGATCAGAAAGCAGAAACCTCTGTAAAACGGCACAGCAAGTCGTGTTCTCAGCTTGGATCAGCAGGCCTGCTATAACTACTTCCAAAAATTAATAAATGCAGCGGTACGGACATTCTGCTTGGTCTCAGCACGTCTAAGTCTCCCACAGCCACCAGCACCGGACTGCGATACCCTCAGCGCAAGGCTGAGAGAGCAACAGAGCTCCAGTTCCAGCCTGGCCCCACACTACAGGGACAAACTGTGAAAATATTTTGAGCTAGCGTAATTATCAAGGCCTAAAAAATCATCACTTTTACCCATCCCACCCTGACTTCCCTCCCTGTCAGCCTGTACACGACAAAGAATTGCTGGTCGAGCTCGCTCTGCCCTGCTGATGCCAGGGATGACCCTTACACAGATGCTGAAATGGGATGGCGGTGCTGGGAGCTGGAGCCAGGGCTGCAGGGCTCAGAAGAAACAGCCAAGGGACCCCTGCTTCAGCTTGGAGACGAGGTGGCTTTGCGCCCTCGATGAGCTCAGGCAAGCTCTTGGATCAGGCAAATACTGGGGCTGGGAGGCATAAGCCTGCGGACTCCTGCCAGCTGCCGCAGTTCGCAGAAGTAAAAGCAGCCTGGACTCACTGGGTGCTGTCTCCAAGAGGAACCTTCTTCAGGCTAAACATTGACCCAAATCAATCAGCTGGGAGTGCCAATCCCTCCTTATCCTGCCCATCTCATACGGAACAGCCCCTGGAGAAAAGTCTGTCTGAAGCAGGGGTTATTCGACATGACCTATTCTGCTCTGCCGCAGCGTGCTCTCCCGTGTGCCTCCCTGCCCAAAAAACTGCAAGCTGGGGCTTTAACCATGCTGGAATGCCAGCACGGAGCCCCCCACCCATAGGGTGAAGGTTTGCCAAGGGGCTGTGGTCACCCCTCGTGCCACGCTGCGGAGAGGCAGCCATCACGGTGTAAAATAGTGTGTGAGTAACAGCGAAGCAAACAGCTCTTAGTGCAGGGCTAGGACAGTCCAGACTGAGTCGCAGTTTCCAGGGTGGTTTGCCCAAATTCTGGTCTATATGAGAAAATTGGTGTTTTTTTTTTTAAAAAGTGCAGCTTGCAGACATACCTGAGAGAAAGCAACTCTGAAGTTATGAGTTTACAGAGAAGAATTACGCTTGCCTGTGGGGCTGTCAACTGCATGTAGTTCACATGTGATAAATGCTCTGTGTGCAAAATGCCTTGAGCCCCAGCTATTTAAAAAGAGAACGGGATTTAGGTACTTGTTACATGCAACAAAGCTGATGGAGGTTTAATATAATTCATAGCCTGACATTCCTTCTCCAGTGTGTTAGCAAAAACATTTTGCTACCACAGCAAAGATCCTTCTGGAGCCCTGAGGAGCCTTCAAAACCTTTTGTGAAAACATTAACTCTACTGAGGGCCATTTTATAAATCATAAAACTTGCACAGAGCAGTTGAAGTGGTTACAGGATATACAGAAATCCAAATTTCCTGGTTGTACAGAAGGCAGAATAGTCGTCCTTTAGCTTCGCTTTCAAGACCAGAATTTGCAACCATATAAAATCCCATTTCTGAGAGGTCTAGCCCAGCGAGCCTCTTACAGTGGCAGAATCGCTGCGCAGCTTGACAACACAGAAATGTCTGCTATGAGGAAATCCTGCCGTCGGGCTTATATGCAGAAATTAAAAGAAAGTTTGTACTGGAACCCTGCTTTGAAGGAAATGTGAAAAAGATACCTGTCCCTCCATTACACCCAAGTTAAACTTCATCGAAAACGTCAGCTCTGTCAGCAATAAACCAACACAAAATTTCAAGAGTGAAACCTGACACCTACAGGGCAGAGCATCTTTGTTTTACACACCCACCCTTGTCAGAAGCTAATTTTGTCCTCTTTCAATCTGGTGCTGCCCATCACATCTAATGAAACAAAGGGAGCGTTATTCCATTTTTAACATCACGTGGATTAAACAAAGTCTCCTTAGCAAGGAGGCTCCTGTTACTGAATTTGTCCTCTGAGCAAAACCACTGCTGAACTGTGAGGTGTCCTGCTCTTGGCCAGAGATAGAATCTTGTGGTTCATCAGCGTGAGGTGGAGAAGAGAAGAATAAGAAAGTCAATCCGGGAGCCTTTATGTGGGCAAAGCTCCTGCTGTAGCATTCAATCTCTTCTATTCTAATGTCGCTCTGGCATGCCCGGTCTTAAGGCCATGTCCTATGACTGACCACTTCGGGTAACAGCATTTTTGCCAAGGAACAGAAACATCTGCGCTGTAGCAGTAACGATGAGATTCACCAAGAATGTCATATGCCTACAGTAGGGGAAAAAAAAAATCTACCCAAAGCTTAAAAAAATTCCCCTCCCAAATAGAGCCCGGTGGTGAACGAGGACTGAGCCGTGAGGATCCACCTCGTGCTCACTGCCCGCCCAACCTGCTGGTACGTGACCACAAAGATGCAGCCGCTCCTGCCTGCGGTCAGTCCTGCTGCCGAAAATGGATGATGATGCGCTGGGAACCTGTGAGGAACAGTCACGTGGGCTTCCAGCTTATGTGCTGAGAGCTCCTGAAAGATGCTGCTGGGGAAGATGGTCACGTCTTAATGAGCTTATCTGCTACCGTTTTGTTTGGCCCCTCTTCTACTGTATTTGTGGTATCATGAACATATACATATGGATAAAAATGTATTTTTTTTCCCTCTTTAAAAGCCTCTCTCCCCATTATCATGGATAATGGGGAGAGTCGGAGGGCTTTTTCTTTTTGAAGCGATTATGATTATGTGCAACCTTTGCTCCCGAGTCATTCACATAGAAAGCACAGACAAGCCCCCCTGCTGCGAGGTGACAGCTCTGTCTGGCTCTGCAGGGCTTTGGTATTCATAGCTCCACGAGGTCATCGCTGGAAAAAACCTTGATGGTGATGCGACCTGGCACCTCGGCTGCTTCTCGCCTGCCTCTCCCGTGGAGCTGCAGAGTCTGCTCTTCTCTGGGGTCACTGGGTGAAGCTGCCAGAACCGCCTGTCCGAGGAACTGGTCACACAAGATGTTGCTGTTCCAGACCTAGTGACAAAGGAACAGAACTAAACACAGCTGAAGCAGTGCTTCTCTCACACTCCACCTGAAAGGGTTGTGCTGGAGAAGGGTCACCCCCATTAACCCCTTGCAAAAGCTTCGAGGAGGGGGCGTACATCTAAATTTAGCTAATTGTCTAGAGAGCATGTGGGAGATCCTGGATTTGCATGCTCATTTACATATGCTATGCAAATAAGGAGCTAAATGCAGCTTTTTGCTTTCTAGGTCACAGCCTGCCTAGAAGAGGAATAAAAATTACCTGTTTGAGCTCATTGGCAGTAAAAACCTACGTGCAAGTGTCTATGCCACTCTGCCTGCTTGTGCTCACCCCTGCAGCATCTTCAGGGCTTTTCCTCTGACTGTGTTAGAGCGAGGCCCACACTGCTAGAGCAAGGGACAGCAGTGGTTCTGGAGCCCTTGGACATGTCCCTAGACACTACTCAGGATAGGGTTGGGCACACAGGAAGCAGCAACTGAGATGCTCTTAGTTTGGTGCTAGTCACATATGCCAGTCTCTCTTTGGTCTCTGAAGTTCATTTGTAAGATCTCCCCACCCTGATGAAGAAGACCTGGTCCTTAGTGTTTGTCTAATACTGAAGATTTGTGTGTTCCAAAGTGAAATGCCGTTCTGCTCTCCCAAAGTGTTCACAGATTGCCTCATCTAAACATTAAGTTCTATTTCTCCAGTTAGGGCTGAGGTAAACAGGGTGGTCCATGACTGGAAGTCAAGGTAAAAACTTCTACCTAATATCTTTCGCTTCAGTTTTGTTTCAAATGCTTACTTTGGAAAACACCTGGCTTTTCTTTGTCTCTGTTTCATCAGATACCAAATGAGGCAAAAGGTAATTCTGTAAATGCCTTCAAAGTCTTGGAATGAAAGATGCCTTGTGATCCCTAAGTGTCATCAGTTGCTGTTTTATGGAAGAGATCTGGACTAGGGAATTACCAGGACAGCTGAACAGCTCCAGGAATAGCCCAGTAAAGGGGAGCAGAGGTTCCCACTCTTCTATCCTGGGTGTCAGTCATATGAAAGAAGAGTTGGCACACATCAAGCCCAGGGATGCCGTTGTGCTCCCTTACCTGCCTTTAGCAGCCCACCCCGCGTGGCTTATCTCACCTGGACAATGACGGGACTGTCGATGTTCTTCCTGTAGAAAATCACCTGTGTGTCGAAGATGGCACTGGTCGTATCGTGCTGCACGGGGGAGCGTGTGCTCTGGTTCTCACACTTGATAAGCACGTAGGGATCTGCTCCTAAAACACAATCAGCAGCGCAGCTCTCAGGACACAGAATCACACCTGAGACACGTCCGGAAACCCAGCACCCATTCCTGGCAGCACCAGTGCAGCTGAGCACTGGAACTGGGCTCACTGCTAGCTGCCCATCACGAGCGGAGATGAAATACCTCATTTTTGTAACAACTGCATGCTCAGAGCTGGAAACCAAGCACCATTTGCTGTAAAACCAGCTCTCTCCTGGACTGGGATTGTGATCTTTCCCCATTCCCTTCCTGTGCATCCTCCTGGCTCATCTAACAAAGCTTCTGAGTGACACTCAGCTCCCTGACACTGCTCTAGATGTGAGAGCCAAAACGCGCCCATGCGTAGGCAATCAGATACGTAATTCTGGGCGCCTGGGCCAAAATGGAAGATAAAAACTGTTCATGATTCACAATTCCTGTGCAGAACAAGGCCAGGAACTTTTTGGATCACTGAATGCAATCTCAGTGCCTACCTGTAGCTTGAAAGTGCTGTCTGCTGTGTTCTGATATGGGTATTGGTGTTAACAAGGTGTTTTTCAAGAAGCAATTTGTCTTCCAGAAAGTAAAATATTGTCAAAACGCAAAAACATTTTGTGGGAGCGCACTGATTTCAACAGAGTTTTCTGTGGGAAACTGTGAAAGCAAATTCTTCCCAGCTTCTCATTTTTTTCCCATGAACCTGAGACAATTTCTTCAGTTCTATCGTTTGGCTAGATGTAATTTTAAAGTTTATGTTATCACTTTTTATATATTGACATATGTTTTAAATTATACTTTAATCATACGTAACCCACTGAGATTATTCAGCATTCTAAAAACGCCTTGCTGGTTTTACACTGAACATTTTTACTTTGTTAGAAATGTTGATATTTTCTTTCCATTCCAATAGGAGGAAGAACCAGTTTGGAAACATCTGTCTTTATCCTCAAACAGAGAGCACCATTCCACTTTCTAATTAATTTTTAACTAGACAGAGGCATTACCTTTTTTTAAAAAAAATTATTTCAACATGCATATAATGACAGCATATCGATTTTCTTGCTACTTTTTAGATACGGATTTTAAATAAACCCACCAAACGTGTCTAAGCGTAAGTCAGTCTTGCGATCATTTCTTACACACATTTCATCACCATCTACTTGAAAATGCCACCACTGGAACGACAGCCATAAGGCAGCGTAATTTTAAGGCAGCTTTCATGTTTTTTTAACAATTCACAACCAGGATGATTTTCCTCATTTGCAGGAATAGATACCAACGCCTCACGCAAACAAACAGCCTAACAGCTACGTCCAAAACAGAAGGAACCAAGAAATGAGATTTTTCCGTGTGCTGCACAATGGTCACACCTGGCCAGACCAGCGACAGGCCTGTTACCTTGACAACATCTCACACTTCCAGTAGCAGGTAGCCCTGTCTTTATTGGCTTTTCTGATAGGCAATTACTTTCTGTGTCACTGGATGTGTGGATTTAGCTCTGGGACATGGGGCGGCACCATGCTGTGTGATCGGTGATGGGAAAAAAGCTCCCCCACACCCTTTGCGAAGAGATTTGGAAAATGGAGCTGAATGAAATGGGGTCTTGCATGAAATGGTGTCAACTACTTTGGCCAGAGGCAAAGAGCAAAGCAACATCTGATCATTAACAGTAATTAAGAGATAAAGGGCATAAGAAGAGGTGGGGAAAGGACACAGAGCTTAAAGAGGTAACTGGCATATCTGCTGGAAGAGGGAGCTGTTAATGAAGGGACTTGCTAAGTGAGAGGAAAGCTAACATTTGAAATTCAGATTCAAATTCTCAGAAAGAGCTATTAAAAGAGTGTGAGGTAGAAGAGGAATACGAAAGGTATCTGCACAGCACAACCTCATCATGGCCCTGCTGAGCAGTCGGTTACACCAGGAGCACTGGCTGCAGCTCCAGAACACCAGGAAGAAGCAGGGGAGCTGCACATGGGGGATGAGGGAAAGGGACGTTCTCAGCTACAGCTGGCCAGTTCTTTGCAGCTCTGGGGCTGGTACAGTACTAAGACAACGCAGAAACGGCTATGAAGGTGGAAAAGCAACATCCTAGCGTCTGCCATGAGCTAGGGGTGAGAACAACTGGAGCCGCTACTCTGGCAACTGCTCCACACTGGAAGGAGGCCTGGGTTCAGTTCTCAGGCACCCGCATGACTCGAGTCATGCCTCAATGTCTCAAACCAGGACACTCAAACACCACATTGTGTGTAAGCTCCTGCTTCATCTCAGTCCCATGGCCGTGCTGTTGTACTGGGAAGTTATACTCTTCTCCAGCTATACCACTCTTACTGGTATACAGAGAGCTATGATGAACTTAGCCACTGGAAGAAAAAGCACAGGCCAAACATAGCAGACACGTCGCTGAGGCACAAGCACTGCCTTGGGAATTACAACAGGTTGGTTTGCCTTTTGCAGTTAATTCTTTGCTAGTGTGATACCTCTTAGCTTCTCCTGCAATGCAGATAATAAAAGGGAGGCTTTCCACAGGCATCAGTAAATCCTCCCCCACCTCCACTCCATCTTCTCTCTGCTTCCCTTCTCACGCTTTGACTGGATGTTTACCAGCTGCTTTTTGCCTTCTCCTGCCTTCTATTTCTCAGACTGCTCCCAAGGCAACCGCGATTAAACGTAGCAGATACTCTGCTTACCAGAATCACAATACCTAGTTTAGAAAAGAAGTGGCAAGAAGTGGCAAATTCAATGCGTAAGTTCTTAAAAAGACTTAAAAATGCAAAAGGTGGTTTGTTCTCAGAGATAAACTCTTGGGAAGAGC